CAGAACAAAAAGTTTTTAAAGGAAGCACAGAAACTTGCATACTGTGAATACATATTTTCCTGAGCAGAATATATGCATTCTTTTATGTGTTCATGGGCCATTTAAAATCTTAGCAAAGCTTAGAAAGCAGGAATTTATGAGCTCAATTGCCAAATCAGAATCCAAGGTCAACAAAGTTTCAATTTCTTGGCAAGTAAGACATATCTTCCTATATATAAAGATTTGGTTAAAGTAAACAATCAAAAGAGAAATTATAAATCCCTTTGGATGCAGTGAAACAGAACACAGGACTCTGCTTTCTAATAAAACTCATGGGGCACACTGGGAAGGAAGAGTGAGGGGTTCCACATCCCGGAGGTGAGTGGAGCACGATCAGGAAGGGATGGGCCTGAGAGTTTGCCCTGCCCAGARCTGATCCCCAGCAGCATCTCTGTGACTGCCTGCAGGAGACTGAGACCTGGACCAGGGACGAGGCTCTCACTGCTCACAGCTGTGCAGGCAGCAGCAGTTTCCTACTGGGGCCCCTTCTCCTGAGTCCCACGGAGGCCAGGCAGAGGGGCCAGGTAGAGGCTGCAGGCCCGGTGGCCTTGTGCCCCGGCCGAGGGCCTTAGGAAACCCCAGCCTTTCGAGAGACTGCAGGCAAGCCTGCCCAAACTTTATCTCACACGGGGCCATCGTTTTAAATGTGCCGGTCAGCAAGAAAATTGCCCTCTGTCTGGGAGGGGAGAAATATCTGTATCTTTCAAGGCTTTTTGCTATAAAACATGTTGAAAGGAGAGTCTGGGATGAAATCTGTAGCACCTCTGTGAGATATTCAGAAATGCCAGGGACTCCCCAGGAAAGGTCCCCAAATACAAGGAGAGAACCTGGGAGAGGAAATAACAAATTGAAAGGCATCAAGTGTGTTCTTCAGACTCTATGAATTCATAACAGTACTTCCAAAGCCACTGGTCTGCCTGGTAGCATGCTGCAGCACCAGCTCACTGTGCTGAAAACTGGTACATGGCAGAAAACATGTGAGCCTTTATTTGCCTTTGCTGTAGGAACTCTGTGCCCATGTCCCAGGTAGGGGAAGAGAACAGTGCCTCTTCTAGACCCCTGCTGATGACTGACAGAGGGACTGTCAAGACTGGGCGAGCCCAAGAGAAACACAGAGTCTCAGAGGAATGGGGAGGGCTGCTGAAGATGGTGACAGCAGGGTCCACAGGGACAGATGGAGGGCAACACCAGAGCCCCAGAGAGGTCCCGGCCCTGCACCTGAGTGGAGCGAGAGGGAGCTCGGCTTCCCCCCTCTCACGAGGCAGGGCCCTGGTGACTCCCCACATTGTCTGTGAATTAAATTGTGTCCCCCAAAAGATACGTTCAAGTCCCGAGTCTCAGCACTCATGGACGGGACTTTATTTGGAAGAAGGTCTTTGCAGAGGTGATCAAGTCAAGAAGAGGCCATCCTGGGTGAGGTGGGTGGGCCCCAACCCAGCAGCTGGTGTCCCCGTTAGAAAGGGAAGATGGGACATGGACACCAAATGGGAGGGCGTGTGAGGACAGAGTGGAGGTTGGAGAAGGCGCCCCGAGGACTGCGCCCACCAGGATTCCCTCAGCCTCCCGCAGGGACAGCCCTGCGACCCTGCGTGCAGATGACCCTGCATCAGACGACCCTGCACTGCAGACGACCCTGCATGCAGACGCTGCTCCTGGACTGTGAGAGCATACACCTCTGCTGCTTGGACCACCCAGGATGTGAGGTTGTCAGCAGCCCAGGAACAAGGCAGGGTCCAGTGGGATTGCCCCCCCCTCCCGCCTAGGTGGCTGCCACTTGACAACTGCAGCTGCACCTGGCCTCCTCCTCCTCCATGCGCCTGGTGACTGCCTCCCCACAAGYAGTCCACCTGACCCCCGTAGAGAGTCTGCTTTCAGGCCCCGAACCACAGCACTGGGACAGAAGGAACCAAGGAAGCAGATGCCCAGGAAGAGACTCTGAACACACACCTCTTGCCAGCCAGATGGCCTGGCCACAGGATGCAGTGTCCATCATGGTCTCCACAGAAACGAGACCAAGGAGATATCCAACAACAGGCAGGGCCTCTCAGCCCTCGCCTTGTCTGTGGCATGCCCACTGTCCGCACACGGGTACCTTCATGAGAGGAGCAGGGAGCTGGCAAGGCCTCCAGCTTCAGCCTGGAGGTCCACCGCCCCAGCTGAACCGCCCTCCCTTAGGGCGGAGGGGAGATTAGGCCTCTCCTTCTGTTCAGGCCTTCAGCGGATTGGGCGGGGCCCACCACCCAGGAGACATCTGCCTAGTCCAACCTTCATCTCACCTGAAAGCACCCTCCGACACCTGGGGGTGTTTAGCCAAGCACCTGGGTGCCCACTGGTCCAGTCAGGCTGACATGGAACATGACCCCTGCAGCTGGCATTGCTGTGTCAGGCCAGGTGGCAACACTCCTCCACAATGACTGTGACGAGGAGCAGGTGCCCTGGACGCCCTGGCTCCTGAAACAACCCCGGTGCTGAAGCAGAGTTATCACCTGGGGAGGGCCTTGCCGCGGGATACCCTCTGATCTGCCGACTCTGAGACCTGCTCCACTTGCTTCCGGGAGCTCCCCAAGGGAGTGGATTGCTCATTTACACACCCTGTGTCCACCCCATCTGCTTCTCTCCCCATCTCCATGGACCTTCCTGAGGTCTCCCCCCAGTGACCCAGTTGCATCTAAGTTGTTGGCTTAGGACCTGCTTCTGGGGGACCCTAACTAGGGCAAGTGCCCAATTGCTGTGTTTCATATATCCTAGGGTGGCAAAACATTTTCTGATCCTGTGCAGTTTTTAAGCCGTATATGTTTATAAGCTATGTTTTCCTGCTTGTATCTTTAATTTCTAGCAAATGCTAAATGACCTTATTTATCCCAAATAAATGGCACACTTTTTCATGAGAACCTCCAATGATGTACAGTAGTTGCAATGAGCCCCATAGAATGGTTTTCCTCTTGCATTTGTCAATCTAGTTGATGGGCCCATTTGAAAAAAAAAAAAGCCATTTTGATAGGAGTCATTATGACACAGCCCAGGCCAATGTCCACATGGCTGTCCAGCTTGAGGTTGAAGTGAATTCTAACATGTTTTCATGTGACCATGCTCTGCGCGGTCCCACACAAACTGAGTAGCATGGCTCCACTGGATAGTTGGGAGGTACTGGCAGCTGAGTTTGTGGGGATACCCTAACTATGACATGGGAGTGGTTAACAGCCACTGACAACAGCCATGCTGGGTGTGACCCAGAATCCTCTTGGGGAAATGAGGGAACCAAACAAGGCTTTCCCTGAAAGCTGCTCCACATCCCTTTAGGTCAGCCAAACTAAAAAACAAAACAAAACAAAACAAAACAATAATGCAACCAGTAACCCTAAAGCATTTAAAAGTTCAGAGACTCCAGCCAAGAAGCCTGGCTAATAACCCTTGGTCTGAGAGTCTCCTGACAATTGGCTCCCAGGTTCATGTCCTGAGGCTACTTCCTGGGGATGGATGGCCTCTGTAGGGCCATTGATTGAATCAATTTGAATCTCACTTTTTTTACTTGATTATAATAGAATCTGACACTGTAATGAGTATATTCTGAATTATTTTGCAAATAATCAGTTAATAAGAGTAAATAAGAATCTCAATGGACCTGTGGGCTGAGAACTTTCATCGATAAAGACTCTCTAGGAACAAAATTTGACGTAGTTTCAATTGCACTACTGTTTGCTGGGAAGCTGGATGGAAAAGGTCGGTATTCCGATTCTGGAGGAGGAGCCACGATCTGCATTCCCACTCACCACTTGTGTGTTACCAGTAAAATGGGCACAAGGAGCTACTTCACACCGCCATTCTGAGGACGGAGCAGAACCGCGCAGGCAGAGAGCACTTCTCAGACAGCAAGGGCTTCTTTGGCAACTGCAGCTGTTCTCAATGGCAGCTGTTCCCACAGAATAGCTTGCCCTCCTGATTCAGAATTCATCCTGCTATTTGAATTTTGTGTTTGTATTTGGAAAGAAAATTTAACCACTTAACTGGGGGAAGCTGGAATTAAATGCAATTAACGATTGCCATCACATACACTGGGAGAAGTCAGAGGAAGAGGAGTTCGCCTCTTTAATTTGGAATCTTTATAGATTTCTAGCCTTTGTCATTACACGGATTCGTATTCGTGCCTGGCACATGGTAAGATCTCATAGGTGATCACAAATGTTATTTTAAACTGCCGCGGAAGTCACAGGGAGCCAAGGCCAAGGCGCGGCCGGTGGTTGGTGTAAACGGAAATACACGTCCTTTGAGAGGGGTCTCCGTCCTTCTTCACACAGGAGTAAGGTCACTAGTTGTTGGAAGAAGCTTGCTCGTCACGCGACAGTCGGACGCCCGAGTTCCGTGGGGTCTGCGTTGGCTGCCGGGCTCCACGGAGGACGCCACCCGGCGCCGGTCGGTCTAACTGCGCCGCTCTCCTTCCTCGCGCTGCGCACAGACCCACTTAGGCTGTGCCATTTTCTTGACCTTGCTCCAACAGGCTTTGAAACGTCACCACCAATTTAACGCGGAGCCACGCAAGGCTTCCAGCCGATGGCCCCAGCTGGCCGAGCCACCCGCTTCCGCCAGCTGAGGTCTCCGCCGCGTCCACCGCCCCCCGGCAGGGGGCCCTCGAGCCGCCCGCTGCGCCGCGCTCTGGCGCCCACGTCCCCCAGGGCTCGCAGCGCCTCAGGAAAAATCAATTCCTGCCCAAATTAGACCCATCTGGTTACAGATTTGATTAGCATTTGGCTCMGTCATTACTGGCTTGCAAGGTAGCGAGACACAAACGTCTGGCTTTCAGCACCGCCCCCACCCCGAAATAAGACTGGCAGAAATAAAAAGAGCATTCTGGGAAGTACTTAATAATGCGAACCTCTTGCTCGGAATATAAACAAAGGGCGCAGAGTCCCTGGCGGGCGCGGCTGCTAGGCGGCTCGGCAGGGCTGCGCAGGTGAGCGCGGGGCGCGCCCAGCCTGCGCCGTGCGCCCGGGCCTGGCGCGGAGCTGCGCGGGGCGCGCGCGGGCGGGCGGCCGCGTCTTTCTTCTCCCGGCGGTGATGTCATCGGGCGACGGCGGCCGCGGCCGGGGGGCGGCGGCGGGGGCGGCGCCCGGCGCCCGCAGGTTCCTGTGCATCTAATGAAAAGGCACTTGACAGCGGGCCAGGGCGCGCGGAGCGAGCGGAGCCGAGCCGGACCTGCTGGGCCGGCCGAGCCAATCGCCGGCGCCCAGCGCCCCATGGGCGCGGAGGCGGCGGGGGCGGGGGCGGCCGCGGGCCGGGCCGCCGCTCCGAGGTGAACGGCGCGCGCGGGCCCCCTCCCTGCGCTCTGCCCGAGCCGCCGCAGCGATGAATTCCGCCGAGCAGACCGTTACGTGGCTCATCACCCTGGGGGTGCTAGAGTCGCCCAAGAAAACCATCTCCGACCCGGAGGGCTTTTTGCAGGCGTCGCTGAAGGATGGGGTGGTCCTCTGCAGGCTGCTGGAGCGCCTGCTCCCCGGGACCATCGAGAAAGTAAGTGCCCCCAGCCCGGTCGGGCCCGGCCCGCGTCCCCGGCCCCGCGCGGCCCGCGATGCGCGCAGGAGCACCTGGCGCGTCCCCGGCCCCGCGCGCCCTCCTTTGTGCGCGGACCGGGCGGCGCGGCGGGCGCGGGGACGGGTGGCGGGAGCTCGGGGGGCGCCATTGTGTGCGGGGCGGGCTGGGTCGGGGGAGGGGCCGGCCGCCCGGGGGGACGCGGCGGGGTCGGGGTCGGGGGAAGGAGAGTGCTCTGCTTGCGGAGAAGAGGGGGTTCTGCTCCGCCCTGACGTTGAGTTGCTCCACGGCGCTGGGTGGTCGGCTTTGCTCGCTGGCGGCGACCGGTCACAAAACCTTGTTCCAGCGCGCGCAGCTTCCCGAGATGGCTTTGTTCGAACGATTTTCGTCGGTGGCATTGCAGGGGGCTCTCGCCCTTCGGTTCAATGGGCCCGCTGCTGTGCGTGTTTAAAAGGCGCAGCCATCGTCGCCGAGGGCTGGGCTGCGAAGCCACTTACTACTTTCCCCACCGAGGATTCCGCTCGCACCCAGGCCGGCGCGGTGGCACGCCGGGATTCAAAGCCCTGTCTTCTCCGGGGCTGGCTTAGAATCCCAGACTCGTCTCGACTTCACGCCGATCTGAGCGGACTGCTCCGCTGGTGGTTCCCCTGCGGCCCGCCGGAGCGTGAACCTTGACCCGCGTCTGCCAGCGATGAAAGTTTTCATCTCCCACAAGAGCAGGGCGAGGGGATGGGACCAGCTTCTGAGAACCACGCGCCCAAATACGTCAAAAATACTGAGGTCTTGCCTCTAATTTTTTTTTTTTGGCCAATATACAATTTTAAAAATAAGATCAACAATTATTTAAAGGGCATTAAAGTATAGAATTTCAAGCATACCATAATTAGAAAGAACTGTTGCATTTTTAACGGGATGTATTGACCCCCAGGCAGGATGACAAACAGTTTGTTAAAAGGTTAAGTGATTTGAAAAAGTAATTTTATTCATGTTTGCATGTTATGGTGCTAGATTTAAAATTAGGCCAGAAAACATGTTATTTTAACATGAATTTGCTGTGCATACTAGTTTTAGGTATTTTTCTGACTTGGAACATATTTATGAAAACAGAATTTGCATTTTAGAATAAACAACTGCCTTGCATAAAATAGGAATGTTGCTTGTAAGTGAAACTTAAATGATGATTTAAGATGGGTTGAGGAGCGGATGTAAATTTCAAGGCACTCAGAGCACTGTTGTCATCTGGATATTGGTACCTCTGATAATAAAGGACAGATGTTGAAAAGCTAACTTTACCAAAATAGACTAAAATATGCTGTTCCATTTCTAAAGAGTGAAGCTTTAAGCAACTTCATGAGCTGTGTTGATAAAAATGTGGCCCTCAAAGCATGATGTCGTTTGGCATATTCACTGCCTTAATATATTGATTGGTAGACTTCAATAATTTTCTTTTTTAACTTTTGGAAAGATTTTCTTAGAAAAATGTAGCATTCTTCTCATCTCTAAAACAACAAAGACAGGAATGAATAAAATGTTTAGTTTGAAGCAGCTGGATTGGAACATGGCATATTCTGAAACACAGTTGCATGGAAATTTCTTAGGTTGAAGCCATTGTTTTGTTCTCGTGAGCCCTGATTGGTTTGTTTTAAACTGACTCCATCACAATGAAAGTTTAAGGTAAAGGCACCAATTATGGATAGAGTTACTGGCTCTCTGGTTCAAAGATAGGTTTGGGGAATAAAATATTAGCCATTTTCTGCCTCTGAACTCTGCGTTTCAGAAGTCTCCCTTTCCTAAGAGTTGCTTTTTTGTGTGCCTACACATGTTTGCACACAACAGTATGTGCCACAAAGCACACATGAAGCCGGATGGCTTTTACTCGAATGTGGAAATGTGAGTCGGAGGCTGTTTTCCCTTAAACAGGAACAGTTGGCGACTGAATGTCCCCATGGAATTGGAAGGGGGCCCCAGTTGCTGGGCAGTGGTGAGCAGCCTGTGACTTCAGTTGTCCAGGCTTACAGCCTAAGGCCAGCCCTGAGCCTGGGAGTAAGCACAGGCTGAAGAGGCTTTCCTTGTGTGCATGTTTCTCCCATTGGTCGGTGTGCTTCAGAGCAGGGATGGGTGGAGGGGAGAGAGGACATTCACTGGACTCCTGCTCATTTAGAGCCATGGGTTCAGGTTCCCCTGATGCAGTTCCTCCACTTTTCTTTCAGGGTAGAGTGGAGCCAGAGAGAGAGGGACTTGTAAGCGTCCCCTGAGCACTTTGCGTTATTGCCAGCGTGTTCTTCCCAGTGCTCCTGTATGCACTCTTGCCCTTGGGTTTCCCGGGGCCAGGCTGGCTCCCTACCCCCTGTTCTGAAACACTGAGGCCAAGATGCCCTGAGCCCGGGCAGCACAGTTCTCACAAGTACACACCGTGCACATCTCTAGATGATCTAGCCCAAGGAGGGGGAACCTCGAGGGGGTCTTTTAGAGGACGGAAGTGACTGGGAGCTTAATAAACACATGTTAACGTGACAGTCTAATTCTCCCTCTGAGTGCAGCAGTGGCCACTTCACCACACACAACTCCAGGGATGTGGCTCTTTCTGTGTCCCAGGAAACGAGAGCACAGAAGCTCCGTGGAACCCATGCAGTGTGCTCCCCAGGAGATCTGGAGCCACCAGTGTTTGGAGGATGTAGTCAGAAGTCAGAGGCCACCCCTGACTGTCCTGGTTGTGCACACCTGTCTCATGGTCTGGCCCCTGGAGGCTGGGGTCAAGATGTAGGTGAGGCTGTGCTCCCCTGAAGTGTGGGGGAGGTTCTATCCAGGCCTCGCTCAGGGGTCTGGGGCGCCTGGGCTTGTGGTCTCCACATTGTCCAAATCCCCCTCTTATAAGGACATGGTCCTGTTGGATCAGGGGCACACTACCTGGTATGACCTTTTCTGATCACCTCTGCAGGGACCTCACCTGCTGAGGTACTGGAGTTAGATTTCAACATAAGAATCTTGGGGAACAACTTGACCAACAGGTAGCATAACATATTTGAACCAAATTAACCTGTGAAGCACTTACTTGCCTTCCATGATGCATGGGGGATAAAACCCTGAACAGCAGGTCGAGTACAGGAGAAAACACAGCTCTGGGAAGGACCACAGTGTGAGCAGGAGGAAGTAGCGAATCGTGATGCAGGGGATAGACGGGAGGACGGGGGAAGTTGAGGAGACCAGCATTTGATGAGCAGGTCAGATTTGCATTTTTCCTGATGTGTGGGTTAGAATCTGGTGTTTCCCCAGACCAAGGAGACCTTCTGTGGATGTGTAGAAACCAGCAGATCTGAGGCAGCACTTTCTCAGTGGACTCAAGACTTACTTTCTGCTCAGCTTAAAATTCTGGAGTGGGTAAGGCTGGGGTGGGAAAGAAAGGGAAGAATTTAGAAGTGCCCAAGGAAGACTGTGCCTTCTCATGGGCCCTTGGGCCTCCGCAGCATGTGGTCAGTGATGCGTGGGACAGTTGAGGGGTCCCACCAGAACAGGTCATGTGGGAAGGCTATGCCTGATGTCTGTTCATAAAGATGCATTGATTGACTGATAAATCACTCATGGAGAAGTTGGGATGCAGACTATCTCTGGGCCATTTTTAAGGTCCTTAAAACCCTGCAATCAGGATTCTCAGTTATATCCAGACTCTTCTAATCAACCTACCCTAATGAAGCTCTCAGAATCATTGATTTTGCAATAATACAATAATAAACATTTTTTTTCAGGTCCCAGGATTGAATCCAGGGATGCTTTACTACTGAACCACATCTCTAGCCCTTTTTATTTTGAAACAGGGTCTTGCTCAGTCGCTGAGGCTGGCTTTGAACCTGTGATCCTCCTGCCTTAGCTTCCTGAGACCCTGGGATTACAGGCGTGTGCCACTGCACCTGGCTGATAAACATTCACTTTTGAAGCATGCGACTTTGAAGTCCATCTAGACCCTGAGCCAGTGTGATTCTTACTTAGGCTTTAGGCCTGGGGAAGAGCGGAGCTGGAGCTGTCTTTGCTGGTTCTCTCAAAATGAAGCACACAAAGTCAAATTCAGTTTAAACCAGGGACATTAGAAGAGGGCTCCTGAGAGCCAGATTGAAATCACTATGGTGTTCATGTTGGTGTCTCACATGTGCATGAGCACACATGTGGGTGCACAAATACAGGTGTGCAGACAGGTGCATGTGCACATGTTCAGGGATGCATGCACACTCACATCCACGCACATGCACACACACCTCTGGGTTGGTGGTTGGGGTGTTGCTGGTGGCATGCTGTTTCAGGAGGTGTGTCATTGGGGCAGCGCTCAGTCCCAGGTGTGCTCTCCCAGGACCAGGCTCTCATTCTGTTAGCAGAGCTAACCCTAGAATCTGCCTGTTTTCCCTGCTTGCTCTACTCACTTTAATATACTCTTTTAAAGAAAAGAAGAGAGAAGAAACGAAACGAAACTCGCATCTGTCCAGAGTCTCGGGCGCCTTTACAAATTGCTCACCTCCTTTACAAGTACTCACCTCCTTTACAGATGCCGTTTCGCAGTGGCAAGCCTGGCTGTGAGTCCCCCACTGCAGCTGGAGGCAGGAGGGTCAAACCCAGGTCTGTGACCTTTCCCCAGATGTCAGACCTGCTCCTGCCACCTGGACTGCATTTAGAGGAAGCTGGTAGTTGGCCCCTAGGAGTTGCAGCCCACACTGGGAAATAAGACAGGGCAAGCACATGTGGGCACCTTGGGCAGATGGAATTAAGGATCAGGTCGTGTGAACCACCCAGCAGGGGTCTCAGGAAGAATGGGCATTGTGGGGCACCCTCAGGAGGCATGTGCAGGTGGCTACCTGGGAAGTGTGCCCAGCCCCTCCCTGTCAGGAACAGCTCCAAAGGCGCCTGGCAGGGGCTCACGTTGTCCTGCAGAGAGCTGGCCTCTCCTTGTCCTGGGGTGCCTCTAGAAACTGCACATGGCCCATGCCTATCCCACCCTG